ATGAAAACTATGCAGCCCCTTCAGCAACTGAAGAATTTGAAAGTAAATTAAAACAAAATATAATTTTACATTAAATAAAAAAGTTTTAAACTTAATTAAAATAAAACATGTCTTAAAGTAAAATAAGTAAACTGTCGTGTTTATTGCTGCCAAAAAAAATGTTAAACACATTTGGACAGTGAAGGAATGTCAGGATTCTTGCTCAGAAAAAGGATCAACGTGCTCTGAAGTCAGAGCAAAAACTTTTTTTGTAACAAAATATCGATTTCTGCTGTCCCTGTATCGATACATTATTAGCAAACAAAATATCACGATACTACACAGTATCGATTTTTCCCCCCCACCTCTAACAACTAGTAGCTCATTGTTTCAACATCTGGAAGATGCAACTGCTATCACAACTAGAGACTGATGAGGTACAACACAAATGCTACAGCAGAGGGGTGCCTAAGAAGAAGTCCATATCGAACTTGAGAATAAAAACTGCTTACCTAGCAAAATGAGCCACATTTTAAAAATCTGGGGAAAAAAAAATTCTGAAAACGTTTCTTATAAAAAATAATTGAGGCAGTCTGCGAAAGTAACTGCTTTAAAATATGACCTATGAGACTTTTGAATGTTATTATTGATCAGTCTGTTTTAATTCAATGTGCTTGCGACATGTGTATCAAATGTCTTCCACAGCAGATCGAGTGTCTGCTCTGATAACCATCTTGCCAACAACTGATAACATTGTGGAAAACTTTGAGTTTAAGGTTAATGATAGCCATAAATGTGATTGTGAAAAACAAGACTTTTTCTTTCATTTTCAGGTTCACTATTTCTGGGAATCACTCAGATTCCTGTCACAGTTCAACTTATTGAGGTTAGCGGTAAGATCCCTTTATGTAAGAGGCTTATATTTTCAGATACTATTATCAGAGGAAGAAGAAGAAGGTACAATAATGTTTTTCACATTGTTTTGCATTGAGGTTAATCCTTTAATGCCCTTTATATCATATTTGATACATGAGTTTCTGAACTTTTTTTGGTCTAAAAATAACATTGTTTTTAACAAACACTTGCCAAAAATGCCCAAAGTATCCAATGCGATACAAAAATGTATAATAAATATATAATAAAAATATATCATACACAGCATGATATATCAAAATAATTTTTGGGGATTTTGTTATAAGGGTTAATAAACATCTCAGAGTTTTCTGGCTATCTTTTGATGGGTTGGGTCTTACAGGGTTAATGATAGCACTAAATGTGACTGTAGAAAATTCTTTCACTTTCAAGCTTACATATTACATCTATATCTACATTACATTTAGATATTTATTGGTATTATCTGCTCATTCCCTGCCTAGTTCCACCCATGTGCCATAAAATTCTTTTCTGCTTTCGTTTTGAAGATGACACGAGTAAGGAGGGAAAAAAAGTAACATCAGAGCAGATAAAGTTGGGGAGTGGGGACGTGACAGATAAAAGGAACCACAGAGTACAAGTACAGTAGAGCAGAACTTGCGCTGTCTTTCTGATCAGAGGAGTTGCCGTAAGTAGTTAAATACTGATCTGTTTTTTCATTGTATTCATCTGTTGCTTTCAGTGGAACTAAGCTTTCCTAGTTTCTGGTTAAACTCATTTGTAATATTCCTGAAATCAAAAAGATGTTGACATTTATTAGTGTTTGTATGTTGCAGGACTAAATGTTAAATCTACACAAACACAGATGAAAGAAAATATTAGTGTATACATTCTGTGTTTAACCCACCACACTTTTAGAGTTAAATAAATTAAACTCCAAGCATGAAGTTGGAACAGAATAGCAACTTTTAGTTTTGCAAGATAGAGAATACTATTATGATTGTTTGCAGTTTTGATTTGCTTCTCCGATTGAAAAGTATGTTGACTTACTGCTGGCTGCATCACACACACACAGCTATGAAATAAATTCAAACAAGATATTTTGACTGACCAAATTTGATTCTTCTTACCCCATCCTACCAGGTGTCGATTGACAGCTTAATTTAAAAGGGATTTTTTTGTAATGTATTAATTATTCTTACAAAGTTAGTTGAGCCACATTAAAGCAGTTTAGAAGAATTATTTCATCATAAACATAATATATGTTTCATGTGGTTTTTTGTTGGCCTTTTTCTTTTTAGATTTTAGGAGTTTTTAAAAGATTCTTCTGAATGTAAGCCAACAAATCATATCAATTCTGTTGCTAATGGCAAGGAGCCTAACAGCGTTAGAGGTGGGTTTTAATTAATTTATATCCTTAAAGACTTAAAAAAAAAAAAATAAATAAAATAAAATAATGAAATGTTACATGTTATGAAATTGTAGTTTTTGTTATTTATAAACTCTGATGTGAAAATTACAGCTGTAAATTTAAGACACCATTATTATTAACTCTGCGTTTTGTATTTTAGGAGGAGTTTTTTTAAAAGACCAGTTTGAATCCAAACCAATATATCTCAACGTCTAAAAGCACGTGACTGAGAACAGGTAAGGAGCCTAATTTTCAAAAGTGAAAGATTTTTTAATATAAAAATGGATCTTTACTATATCGAACAATGTTTGTAATGGTTAAAGTATAAAAATAAGACTTGTAAATGTGAAGAAAAACAATCAGTGGCCACCGGCTTGGTTTACGTTTTCTTGTTTCAGGGCCATCAGCTCATTGGTTGTTTCTGAAACATGAACTGGTTGTTAATTACTTGTTTTCATATTGCTTTTTGTGCTACTACAGGGAGTGCAGAATTATTAGGCAAGTTGTATTTTTGAGGAATAATGTTATTATTGAACAACAACCATGTTCTCAATGAACCCAAAAAACTCATTAATATCAAAGCTGAATGTTTTTGGAAGTAGTTTTTAGTTTGTTTTCAG